TCCCTCCCTCTTCTTTCAAGTTTGATATCTGGTTGACCCAGCATCATTTGTTGAAAACAAACTGTCTTCATCATTGGATTGTGTTGACATCTTTGTTAAAAGTCCAATGATTGTATTAGTGCTGGACTAATTCTAGGCTCTCTATTATGTCCCATTCATCTATTTGTTGATCCTTATGTTAGTTTCACACTGTTTTCATTACTGAAGCTTTATAGAAAGTCTTTAAGTTAGTATGAGTTCCAATATTGTTCTTTTTCAAGATTGCTTTGGCTGTTCTTATTTCTTTGCATTTCTATATACATTTTAGAATTACCTTGTCAATTCTACAAAAGCCTTGATGGGATTATGATTGGGACTGAGTTGGATCTATTGATCAATTTGGGGAGAATTGAAATGTTAACAATATGAATTCTTCATATCCATAAGCATAGTGTATCTCTCCACTTATTTTCATCTTTTATTTCTCTAAGTAGTGTTTCGTAGTTTTCAGTATTAGAACTTTGCATACTTTTGTTAAATTTATGCCTTAGTGTGTTATATTTTTTATGCTATTTTAAATCTCCCCCCTTTTTGTCTCTAGTTTTTTCCCCCTCCCCAAATGAAGCTGAGAATGAAGGGACTAGTAAATAGGTGAATCATGATATCCTAAGTGAGCTGTTGGTTTCTTTAGGGAAAATGTAGAGCAAAAATAATCTTGATGCAGCATTATAGGAGTCATTATAGAGGTTTGTGTACATTATTCTCCAATAGGTATAGAAGAAAGAGTAGGAGGAAACAAAAGCTTACCTAAGGAAATGACCTTTGAGTTAAGGCTTATAAGAAGGGTAAGAGCCATAGAGATAAGGAGAGAGAGTAGTGGCACTCCAGGTACAGAGAAGAATATAGAGGTTCCAGAGAATATGATTTTTTTAAGGAAACTGCTTGTGATTTTTAGCTTGGTGAAGTGGTACTGGAGAAGTAGATAGAATTAGTCCGTGTGCTAGTTTAGGCAAGATTAAGGAGTTTGAGGTCTGCTAAAGGTCTCAGTAAACTATCGTCAACATAAGAAACATTCAAACCTGTAGCAAATTTTTGTGAGTTTATTTGAACCACACTGTTGACAGTTGCTGAGAAGCAAGATCTCAATGGGTTGAGAAAATGCTCCAGAGAATGGCAGTTTTGCATATTATTTTATACATTATAATCAAAAGAGAAGACATAGTAGGTTACATGAAATCCATTGGTGTTATATTAGGGAGGCTGGAGAAAGCCTAGCAGGGGTCGGAGTGGAGGTGGGGACCTCTGGGATTGGATAAAAAGTAAATGTAGACACATGCCTCTTTTACATAGGTGGGATACAGGATAGTTAACAGTCAACAATTAACTTAAAAACAGTAACAGTAAGAGGATTTGTGATCTCTGCCTTGGTTCATTGGTTGTACCCTGAGAGGTCTAGAAAAGGGGTAGTTACCCTGACTTTCCAAAGGTATGTTATCATAAATCAAGAAGACAATAGACAGGCTTAATTCAGGTAAAGATTTTGTCAGGGAAGATTCTAGTCTAGGACATGACTACCTTCCATAAACTGCTTTTAGTTAAAAAGCTTTAATTTCACACCCTTCTATGTGGTTACTTTAGGTCTCTGAGTTTGTAAGTCCGCCATGCAGGCCTTCCCTGAGCTTGTCAGGGTTAGTATGTGGCCCCTTTTTATCCACACTATTTAATAAATGATCTTATAAATATAATTTGCTTCTCTAAAAAACTTAATGGTGTTGGTAAGAATTTTTTTTAGTTCATGAATACATTTATTTTTTTGTGTGCCTTGTCAGTTTTTGCTTGTTTTTTCAAATTGAGTTTTAAGTATTTCATTATATCTTTTATCACTTTTAACATCTTTTTGTACTTTTAATTTTTGATGTATCAGATCCCTTTGTAGATTTTTTTAGAATTTCCTCATCCTAAAATTATCTGTTCTTTTATCTACAATTTCTTCTACTACATAACCCTTACAAATGGCTACTTCATTCACTTAAAAAAAATTCACTATATTTTGATGTGTAGATTTCTTTTTTCATGTTATTGTCATAATTAGCTAGTTATTAATATTAATAATAGAGAGCAAAGGGGAGGGCAGAAATTATAAGCGTGGTCATCTGGACAGCTTCACCAGGAAGCTGCAATTTCATGCTACCCAGGAAACCACCAGTCCATTCCCTGCAGATCACTGGGGGAAGGGATCCAACAAAGTGGAAGGTGGGTACATGCACAGTGAAGTTAGGGTGACATAGGGAAGGTGCTTGCTCGTCAGTCTACCCAGGGAAAAAGATAATTAGCTAGGGGGTTAGAGCCACTGCAAGCGCATGAAATCTTGAGAAGGTAAAGTCCCCCAGACAAAGAGTCCTCTCTTGTTTTGCTCTTGTGCTCTTGTTCCCTTACACTCTCTTGCTCTGTGACCCACACTCAGCCATGAACCTCCATAGCTGTGTGGCCTTAAGCAGACTCTATAGGCAGCATGCTGGACTGGACTGAGCTTTAATATGGAGTGGAGACTCTGGGCAGTGGCTTTAATTCTTGCTCTGCTAAAGACAAGAGTGGACTTTCTCCCTCGCAGAATGTAGGCAGATGTGATATTGGAAACCCAGAAGTTGGAAATAAAGATCACTCATCCTCCCGTGTCTCAGGAAATTCCTTTCCTTGCAACATTTCGAGAACTCCACTTCTATTGGTAACAGGTGAGGACACAGAGGGCACCCCACCAATAAACACATGTACTTGAATGACTATTTAATAGTTTTATTCCTTTACAACTAAATTTTGATGACATCTTTATCATCTGTAGATTTTTTTGGTTTACACAGTTTTTCTTGACAGAAAATCTTAGGAAAGTAAAGATCAGATGGTGATTTATAAGTAATGAATGATCTTGATCTTAAGACCATCAAGTGCCCTTGATCTTAAGTGCTTTTATTTTTTAATTGAATTAATGCTTGATGTTTGATAAATTTCCTATTACAGTTTAGATTTCTGGATTATACTGATAAATCAACAATGTGGTCTCTGTGTCCATACTTGTAGACCCTGAAGATTCCACACACACACCTCTCCTGTTTGCCTCCAGTTCCTTGTCTCCCAAGGCTGCTTGTCAGTTGCCAATTTCCTTTCAGCTTACATTGTTGTTTTTCTTATATTACTAATGTGTTTCCCTATGTCCCTTTCAAAACCTGAAGAATTATAAATTTGAGAGGGACACACTTTTAAAAAAGTGGGAGACAGATGTCTAGCCAATCCCCCCAAATTAAAAACCAGTCAAAACATCATGATTTCATAGCTTTTTGCCCTAAATGAACTGTGAGTTGTGTTTATGCATGCTTTTGAAATGCAATGAAACTTTTTAATCCTTACCCAAGGATATGCTTTCACTGATTTCTAGAGAGAGAGAGGAAGGAGGAGGGAGAGAGAAAAAAAAACATGCATGTGAGAGAAACACCTATTGTTTGCCTTCCACACTTACCCGACCAGGGATTGAACCCTCAGCCTAGGTATGTGCCCTGACTAGCAGTCGAACCTGCAGTCTTTTGGTGACAGGACGACATTCCAGTTAACTGAGCCACCTGGCCAGGGCTGAAATGCAATGAAATATTTTAATGAGTAAACAAATATCTGCCTTTCTATTAGGTTTAGTTTTTATTTACATAAGCTTGACTTATTTATGTGATGTTTCAGGAATACATTCTTGTACTGAGTCCTACTTATGGCAGCTGTTGTGAGGCTTAAATATATAATTAATGTATGTTAAGTACTCAGCACTGTGCCTGGCTTAGCCTTAAAGAAACGATTGATTTTTTTTATTATGTTGATATATAGTATACATTGTTATATAATAAAATAGTAATATGTTAATAGATGGGACTAGTTTATATTTGTGTTGTGTTCTTGCATTGTGTGTTCTTGGTCAGATAATGTCAGTATTATGCTACCTTTATTTAATGATAGGATAGCTCTCCTTTTTAATGTTCTGGAGCAATTTATAGGATTTTATTTATATTTTATTTCAAATTTTGAAATACCTATCAAAATGTCTGAGTCTAGTTCCTTTGCTAAGTAATTCTTTGTCGACTTTTTCCCTTTTCTTTTTGGTATGGTTCAACCTATTCAGGCCATCTGTGTCTTCCAGAGTATTGACTTTATGATTTTCAAATGCAATCACTGTAAAGTGTCACTTACACTTTGAAAAATAACCTCTCCTACAGTGGTACTTGTATTTCATACTTAGCCTCTCCCTCCCAATCTAGGTTTGCCTATTTGCTGTTTTAAAAGACAAATTCTTGGGTTTGTTTATATATTTAAAATTTGTGGAAATGTTTATCCATGTACAAAAGTAGAGAGTGTAGTATAATGAATCACATCTTTCCTATCCCCCGGCCCCAGCTTGGAAAAATTGTCATCCTCCTTTAGGATTTACTTATTAACTATAGCTCATATTTGTTCTTTTTTCATATTTTCCCCCATAGGGTAATTGTGGTTCTTGTTAATTTATTACTTAAATGCCCAATTCTTTAATTTTGCTCCTTATTTAAAAAGTAATTTTGCCCTGCCCAGTGTTGCTCAGTGGTTAGAAAGTCAGCCTGCACACCAGAGGCTCGCAAGTACGGTTCCCAGTCAAGGGCATGTACCTGGGTTGCAGATTCAATCTCCCCGTCCCTGTCAGGGCCTATGCAGGAGGCAATCAATTGATGTGTCTCTCTTACATCAATCTCTCTCCCCCCTACCCCCTCCCTTGTACTCTCTCTAAAAAAATCAATGGAAAAAATATCCTTGGGTGAGGATTAACCAAAAAAAAATCACATTTTCTTTTTCAAAGAGTAATTAAAGCATTTTAAGGAAGTGAATTTGATAAAAGTTCAAGTTTGAAAGCTTTCCCCTATTTTTACTGTCACTGTTTTCTAAAAAGGTTATTTAATTTTTAAATATATTTCTGTTATTTTAAAAAATATTGCTGTTTTAAACTTCTATTTTGTGCATTGTTGGTTCTGTATATAGTTTCTAATTGCAAGACTTATTGAAATACATATTTTTTAGTAGTCTAGTTTTGTGATTAATTTTGTAGACATGGCATATTGTATCCTCAAAATAGTATATAGTCTATGATTGTAGGGTTAAGAAAATAATTATCAATAAATTATAGTATTCAAATAATCTGTCCACTGATGATCATTGGCGCCAATTCAGCACCAACAAGAATCCCTAATTAGGGTGCCTTGAAGATGGGAAAGTTTATTCAGTGTAAAACAGCTCAATTATGATACAGCAGGTCTGTGAAAACAGCAGGGCTGTGAATTGGCGCTGGGGCCAGGCCCCTCTCTGGCTAGACAGCTCTGCTCTGCTTTGCAGGTCTGCTCAGCTCCAGTCTGCTTTGCATTGTGCTGGTCCTGCTCCACTGTACTCTTTCTAGCCTGCCCATTCTGTGCCAGTCTGCTCTGCCCTGCTCCTATGAGACATGTATGGCATTTGATCTCAGCCAGGGAAACTCAGTCTTCAGCCTTAAATGGAAAGGGAAAGTGTGCTTCCCAAGCCAGAGAAGAGCTGGCTTATATAGACAGTCTCCGCTCCAGTCCTTGATTGGTTCTCCTCATTTGCATGAGGACTTCAAATTCTCAAAGTGTGATTGGTCCAAATGGCACTCTCCTGATTGGTCAGAATGGAGCCATTCTGACTGGTTGGTGAAGAGGCTGATGGGGATATAGCTGTGCAGCTCTGATTATTGAACTGGGAGAGCCTCAGTCCTATTTTGGTTGAAATAGAACTCCAGGAACTCCTTTATAAGGGATAGCTCAGACAGCAGAAACACAGTGCGGGCAGGCAGTTCAGTGAAAGCTTGTTCCTGAAGTGCAGTTTGCATGTGAGTTCCCTGCTTAGAAATGGCTGCTAGGTGTGGGTTTGTTTTGTTTTGTTTTGTTTTTAAATTTAAACCCAGTAAAGCCACCAGGAGCCTTTCTTGGTAGGTATCATCTTCTTCAGGGTTCACACTGCTATATCCATATTTATCTCTTTAAAATACCAAAAGATTAAAAAGTAAATTCAAAACTTCCCATTTGCTTAGTTTTTAAAGATACATTTTGAATCTCTGTTCTTTCTGGTAAGGCATACATTGATACTGAATGGTAAATCTTAAACTTGGTTTTTTAGAAATCCAAATATTAGCTGTACTTATTGAGTTAAGAGGGTATATGTCAGAATCTTTAAAGCGTACCTATGCATCTTGAGTTTGTGAAGATTTTTTGTACTTATTAAAAACCTTTAGCTGAACTGTGTAACTCCCCTGTTTATTGGTTATGAATTAGTAATCAGACCAAAATACTTACAAGTCAGATTTAAAATAAGCAAATGTTTTATTACCATTGCATAGTCAAGTTCAGTTATTATATCTTTGGTTTGAGCCTGGTAACTGGTTTTATTATTCTACTAAAGTGTAGGTAATTGGTATTTTAGTTTATAAAGAGATATTGGAAGAATACTGGAGTGCTGATATACAACTTCTTATAATTCTGTTTTGGAACATTACTGCTTGTGTACTATATACAGAATATGCTAATATTTTATATGAGCTAACTACCATTAAGATGATACCTGAATGGTATCTTTAGAAGTTCCCAAAGAGCAATTTTGTACCCGCTAATGCTATTGTGGGTCATCAGGAGACATCTAGAGTCTACCTCCTAAAAAGCTTCTCAGTGCTATCACATTGGTGACTTCCTTAGGGTTTGAGTACAGCCCTCCCTCTTGTTGATTGAGAAACCTGATTTGTCAGCTTCTGTTGACAGAGCCCAATGGAGAGTGGCTCTGCCTCATGTCAGTAGATGCATGTCTCAAAATCTGCAGTGAACACCATAGCTGCCATGTAGACTAAATGTTTATTTCAAGCTTATCCTTCTGTTTTTTCCCTACATAGAATATCATTTTAATAAGAAACACAATTTTAAAAGGTTGTGGGAGGTGTACAGGCAATTATTAAATTGTTTAGTGTCTAAAGGCACTGATCATACTCTTATGCCATTATCTTAATTATAGGAATAATTTGGCAAGTTGACTGAAGATACGTAAAATTCAACAGGCAAGGTGCCCCTACTTGAAGAGTGCTAGGCTGAGCTACCATTTGCTTGTGACAGTCCTTTTCCTGTGTTTTCCATGTGCCTTTCTTATTGGCACATGTACTTCTTTTTCTCTTTAGATCTGAATGTATGTCAAGTCAACTTATTATCATATCTTGACCTTTGAGCCAGTTTGCTTCTTTAAGGAACAGCACATCTGCCCTTGATTCATTATGTGTTGAATTCATAGTTTAACTCTCAGAGGGCAGTATTATTATTTTAGTTGTTTCAAAATTCTCCCCTCTTTTCCTCCATTGTAGCCTTGATGATATAGGCACATCTATAAAAAGCCTTGCAGAGTTTCCTACATACACATAAATCTTTTTTTTTCTTTCTTGTTAAAACTATTCAACTTATTTTCAATTGGCAAATTAATAGGGATCTGCTGGCAAAATTTCATTCATTGTCTCAGGAAAGATTTTTAAAGTAATACCAAAAAGTTGGTTGAGTGATTTTATTTAAATGCTTTATGGAATTTTTCACTTACTACTTTGAAATAACTGATTTTCTTCTAGTAATCTGAGGTGAGGTAGGGTGATGGAGAGGAAAAAGTGGAAGACCCAAATTTTAATCCTAATATATGT